GGGTGTTTCTGATGGGAGACATCCAAACATAATATCTGAGAGGTGTGTGTTGCTGAAGCGAGTTGGTTTTGATCTGTGTCTGTTAACATGTCAAGAGCAAGCTAGCTTCTTTGTCCTGGGGAGTAATGAAAGCAGGGGCTTTGGGGTGTGCTTGGAGGGGGTCCTTTTGTTCTTGTGAAGCATGGGTTTACTTTGTAGTCATTGTTGAAGGCAAAGGACCAGTTTAGGCAACTGTTGTTATTCTGAACAAGAGTTCAGCTTGAGTATCATAGCTAAGCATGTGATATTTCTGTGGAAACTTCTCTGGATAGTGTTTCAAACACTAGTGTACTCTGTGCACTCATTTTCCATGCAGGCAGATGCTTTGAACCAGGACAAAAGGAGTACAATTCTTAAGTTTTCAAGTTCTAAGAAAAAGATCGCCATGCAGGAGTTGATGACTAAACAATAACCAGTTATCTGCATATTATTATGCCTGTGTATGGAGGGAGAAGGAGAGCTAGTAGGATGAAGCTGTTGGCTTTCCATCAACTGTGGTGACTTTTGTCTCCTTTTTTCTCTTTTCAATGATTTCCCTGTTTTAGTGTCTAAAGGAAATCTAGGACATGTAAAACACAGGCACTGGAGCCTGAAGTTTCTCCTTGGCTTTGATTTTAAAATTTATGAACATTTTGCTCGCTAAGCATTTCTGCAGCACATCCCTCATTCTGGAGCTTTTTCATTATTAAGATTGAGATACAATATTGGCATTGGAAAAATGGCTGAGATTAGTCTGTAAATGAGAGGAACCCCTGTACACCTATAAGCCTGGCTACTGTATTTCCAGTAAGTGGTGGTGGAGGGAGGCACTGTGAGTGGCCTGAGTTGACTCTGGTGGGCTCAGTGCCAGGGCAGTCAGGTGTGCTGCTGCAGCAGATTGAAGGCCCAGGCTCCTGCTGCTCTCCTCTTGAACTGCCCCTGGGACCTCACCTGGCTAGAAATGAATCTCTCGGGTGTGTTGCCTTCATCACTTGTACCTGACACCCTCCCACCTTGTCTCTAGATATTTCCTTTTCCTGTGAGGCTTTTAAAGAATTGGAGTTGACAGGTAGAGTGCCCATGTGTGAGAATTTTGGACTTGCACAACATGGTGACTTAAAATACTGAAATGATTAATTTAAACAGCTCTGAACTGAAACAATATGCCAGTCATTCAGGTTACTGTTTACTATTGGCATATTGTGCATTTTGGCTCCTAATGTACACTAACTCTTTAATGTATTCTTAATGAAGCAGTTCACTTAATTTGATTCCCCCTTCACCTTTCTCTATCAAAAGTGTAGCTACTGAGTGGAAAAATGCATCAGAGATGGGGAAGCATACATAAGTGCTTTGATGTGTCCTATTGTTTTGGTTATGTTACATTCTCGCTAGAGGAAATGATTCAAAATCAGGGTAAGAAAAATTTGAAGTCAGATATGGGGTGAATATTTTCAGATGACAGCTAATCTGTTCCCATAGCTTACTAAGATTTTGTCAATCTTCTGGTATGAGGAGGTCTCAAACCAGAATATTTTTAGAGATAGTCTGGCTCAATAGCAGATTACTGAGCTCAGTGTTGGAGTATCTGGGTAAAACTAGCCAGTGTTATGCATGAGGCCAGACTGGATGCTTACAGTAACTCTGGACTTTGAGCTGTTCTCATGTTTGCAGATCACTGTCAAATAATGGCTTCTTTGCTGCTAAAATTTCAGAGGAATGTCTGCAATTGCTACAAATCATCTCTTCAAGTGTGCTGGAATTCCAAAACTGTCTGGCTTAACTGGGCGTTAACTCTCTTGAAAAATACGTGTCTCTCAAATCTTAGACACAGTGTTTTTGTTTCTCTTCTCTAGAGTTGAATCTCTGGACCTTTTTATTCCTTCTGGCAAATAATTATCAAATATTTGCAACAGTATTTCACACTTGGTAACCAGCGTTTGTTTCCTTTGTTCCTGAATAGCAAAAAAAAAAAAAAAAAAAGATTACTTGAATTAACATTTTGATGTAGATTCAAAGGTGTTCCTACTGTTCTAATCACCATTGTCCTTTTTGCTTATCACTGCTTGATGATAGCATATCTGAGCTTGGAGTGAGGTGGTAGCAAGTGGATTTGAGAGATCCAGAGTTTGCTGAAACTTCCTGATGGCTTCAAACAACCACTGATGCCTCAAAACACTTTAAAAAGGAGTCTGCAACTTTGGAGAATTAATTAGCCCTCCAAGGCAGATCTTGTGTGGTATAACCAAAAGGAGACCTGATGAAAGAGCATGTTGTTGAGTTCTTCCTATTATGTGATTAACTTTAGGAAACTAAAACAATCAAGCTTGTGCCTGGCTGCTTAGCAAAGAAATCTGCTGCTGAATGATGAGCAGCCTGTGAGGGATTAGTATGTTCATGGAGCAGAAAAATATCAGTGATGATTTGTCCTGCAGTCTCTGCCAAGAGGCACCTAGCAGGAATCCTTGAGGCTGTTGAAAGCAGATAGGCTAAATGTGGTATGAGCACTTCAGTTCTTCCAGAGTCTGTTCTTAATCTTACTACTTCAACATCTTGTAGGAGCTGCACAATTGAAGTGGTCTGGGGGTTAGTTGCATATTTGTTCAGTTTGGGTTTCATGTTAATTTGCTGGCCTGGAAGGGTATGGTATGCATTATTAAACTGAGTTCTTGTTTAACATTGTTGTGGTGGTGACATAAAAAATAAGTAAGGGAAGGAAATGAGTATGGGTTTTGTAAAAGATGAGGGAGAGGGTAGAAGAGTGGGGCAAGGAAGCAAATGCCAAGCAAGAAGAGGGGACCACATGTCTGAAGTGACAAAAATTCATTGTGAATGTACTGGCTTTGGAGCAGCTGCTCCTGCCCTCCCCAAAAAGAGTGCTGATGCACGCCAGAAGCTGCAAGTTTAGAGTGAGCAGTGCAAAGTTCCCTTCCCAGCGCAAAGCTGCAGAGACTGGAACCAGTTTAAGAACTGTGGCTCTAAGTATGGCCTCATTTCTCTTATGGTTTTGATGTCCCAAAAACATGTTAGCTTGATTGTTGGCCAACTTATTACTACTGTAACCACTGTTACTGGGCAGATAAACTGTGTACTCTGAGCCTTAATTATTGCCTGTGCCATGGTGGTACCTGACTGATGCTGAATAGGAAGCATAAAAACTTATTGGTACAAATGATGCAGATTTTGACAGTAAGGTAGGGAAGGAAAAAAAGCTTCATAGTGGTAGTGGACTGTCTGGGGTGTTTCATTGGTGAAGGTAAAAATCATCAGTGGTGCTACTGACTGACAAGGGGCCAGCAGTTAAATCATTCACTGTAGTTGCAACAGAACTTATTTTTCCTTGGTTCTATTTCCCTGTGATTTGCAACATGGGGAGTTAATGAGTGAGGTGTAGAAGGTGAAAAGTAAGTATTTATGTCAGAACATGCATTGAAGATGAGATAGTATGAGCAGTAAGAAGCAGGGCCTTTCCACTTTCATTAAATACCTTTGGCAAGATATTGGGGAATTGGCTTGCTCTTGACTTTGAGGAAAATTAAAGTAAATGCTTTATCTGTTGTTTCAGTCTGGTTAAAACATACAGGGATAATTGAGTTCAGGCTTTACAGATGGGCAAACAGGTTTCAAGTAATCAGGTTTTCAGCTTAGTCTACTGTGGAGTTGTGTAGAGATGATAGATGAGCTGAACTTGGTATAGATTTTTTTGTTCATTTGTTTGAAGCTTGTACAAATAGGTAACATCGTGGAAACTATTGCTGATTATGTCTGCAGGCTGCATTTACTAGTTTCCAAGGCATATGCATTTGGGGGCAGGGAGTAAACAAAACAACTACCTTGGGAATAACTCTTCAATAAGTTGGGGCGGGGGGGAACAATGTGTCAGTGCTGAAGCATTTGGTTATAAACTGTGCCTCCATAATGTGGCTGCACCAGGTGATTTCTCTGATAGACTCTAAATCCTTGTTACATTATTTGACATACTGCATGACTGTAGTGGCTTAGTTCTGTGTTTATGAAGCAAAAATGATACTTGCCTCACTGGGACAGCCTGTAGATTAATATTTTGTTAGGTCTCCTCACTGACACTGGTATGATGGTCTTTCCAGTTTTGTTCCTGTTCTGGTAGGTGTAGCTTTACTAGCATCCTCCACTAGCTCACCTTGTCAACTCCAAAATCAACTGACAAAACTTGCAACTTGTTTTTGAGACAGTTGTTTGAAAGGAGCATCTAAAATAATTGTAGTGAAGATTAGTTAAAAAATCCCCACAAAACTAATGCGTACAGCAAACCTGAGGCTTCTGAAATCAGCATATTCTGACTGAAGAAGATACCTTTATGGACAAACCATCAGCTTGCTTTTGAAGATAATTACCAGAGTAACTTTAGTTATTTCCAAGTGAATTTTTGTGTGTTCTGAGAGAGGTCTTTACTACAGCATTATGAAGATTTCAGTTGGGGGCCTGCTCTGTCCTAGATGTTAGAAAAGGATGTTTCTGTAGGTAGGGCAGAGTGGATAGGATAGTTTGCCCTGTCCAGTGTTCAATGCCTTTGAAAAAATGTTGAGCTGTAGGACAGGGAAACTGCTAAGTTTCTTGTCAGTGCTGTGGCTTCTTTCTGGGATTGTTGTTTGCATTTTTGTGATTTAAAAAGTAATTACATGAGTAAGGACTTGCCTGGATTGTGATACAGTGGGTGACCAATAGTAGCCATAATAAAAGCACTCATTACATCCATTGCAGATAAACACTTTCGCTCAGGGCTAAGAACTGATTTAAAAGAAAATTGTTTGGATCCCCATGCACTGAGAAATATCTCTGGGGATGGGGGTGGGTGGAGAAGGTACATGAAAGCTGTTGTTCAGATGGAACTCAAATAAAAAGTACTCCAGGCTGCCAGTAAAAACTGTTCAGCCTTTAAAAAAAAAAAAGGCAGAACTGACTTGAGTGGAAAATGCTTACTGATTTTTTTCTTTTCTCTTAATCTTGCAGCTGATTGCAATGCCATACTTAAAGCTCTACAGCCCATTTTTCAGGAGCAGGGAATGACAGAAACAGTTCATAACTGGGAAGACCATGGTTATTTAGCAACCTACATCAAAAAAAATGGCAGGTGAGTGGATTTTCTTTTTCTTCCTATAGATGATGTCCCCTCTGTCCTCCCTTAGAGGCATTTGTTCTCCCTGCATTGGATTTCCTCCTGGGGTGCTGGCAGGGCAACCTGTTCTCTTACCAGCCTTGTGTATGAAGCAACTAAAATAAAGCAGAGTACTGTTGATAATCTTGTCTATGTCATCTTGCAGTTTGGATATCAGAACAGTTGAATTGGTCAGTCTGGGCTGTATTGATGCAGTAACACTGTATGGTGTCTTGGTCTCAGGGCCAGTCCTTCCAGATGCAGGACAGCTCAAGTCAGTTAAATGTATCTGTAATTCTTCTGACAATTGAAAATGTCTAAATATGTTCAAGCCTAACCTTGGCCTGTGAATAATGAAAACTTCCTGTCCCTGTCTTTGTTGTATGTGCTTTTAAACACTTTTTTTTATACACTTCAAATTCTCAAGCAGCTACTGAAGTAACTAACAGCATGACAAAGGTGGGTGGTGTCATTAGTGACACTCATGTAAGCAGAATCTGCTGGGATAAACTGGTAAGCAGAACCACATACACTTTATTTCCTGAAGCTGCTTTACAGTGTCTGGATTAGTTAATTACAGTATACATCTATCTGGCCTATTTATTAGTAACTACCATAACTTTATTGCACTTCATTTGTTTCCAGTTAGTCAATTATTTTGTTCTTGATGTCCATTGTGGCAGTCACTGCTTTTGTTCTTTTTGAAATCTCTACTTCGGTGTTCTTCAGGGTTGGAGTTAAACTAAATAAGCTTTAATTTGTTGGCTGCCTTCTCAAAGGGATATCCTTGTTGCTCTGAGTATAGGCTTGGGAATTCAATATATTGGAGAACTATAAATAAAAATCTACCTCCAGTCAGCTTTTTGATGCTTTTCAGAACCATGTTCAAGTAGATGGCAAGGGGGGCAGGGGAGAAGTGAGGAGAACAGGATGCTGTTTCCTGAAAGCCATGTGTAATAGATGAGCTTCAGTGATTGCTGAGCATTCTTACTGATTTCTAAATGGGTTCTTTCCTGTGTGTTTTGCTGTTGTTGATCTTGTGCTTTCTAGCAGCATGACACTTTGAATCATTCAGCTTTTCACTGTGCTGCTAAATACAACTTAAGCTTTTGCACTAGAGGATAGCTCACAGTATTCTTACTGCTGTGAGAAGATGAAGATGGGGAGGTGGGCCTGGTGGCCTTCCTGCAGGGAAAGATACCTCTTGCCACTGGCTGAGCTAAGTAAAAGAGCTGGGGAGCAGGGGCAATCATCACTCAGACATCTATACTGCTGTGGACTGCCAGCTTGCTCCCTAGATTTTTTCTCTAGGGCTACACCAACAGTTTGTCAGCTGGCAGGGTCTTGGGTTGGTTTGTTTCAGAGCTCTATCCCAAAAGGCAGTGTTGGTGAGGCTGCACAGTTTGGGCTGCTGCTGCTCTCATGCAGTTGTATCAAGTAGCCTTACTTTTCTCACGTACTACCCTTGTGCCATGCTCCAGGGCATGCAATGCATATGGTCAGCTTGATGGTGTAAAATACTTCCCTGGTGACTGCAGCAGAGCCCTCGTGTTGCTTCACATGCTTTGATATGGCAGTTGGTGGGTTGAGGGTGAAACCCCACTGTCTTGGGGCTGCAGGAATTCCATGTGGGCCACAGGGAGAGCTGGGGCTAAGCGGTATAAGCATGGATGTGGCCTGCTGGTTCTCGGGGGATGTTCAGCTCCTTGAGCTCTCCAGGCTGAATGCAACAAGTTTAGTCAAGTATTGGTTCTTATCTGTTTAATAGCATCATATGCTAGACATCTTAGACTAGCGCTGTTCATCTTTTCAACTCACTGTGAGAAATAGGATAGAGAATACTAAGTTTCAGGAAAAAACATGGACTTAAAGATGCTCTAAATACTGAGGTATCCAAGAAAGACACACATGAGCTTTCTACTACTGCAGCACCATTTTTGCCTTTCCTAATTTGCATAGGCTAATTGACTTGCTCTGTCACTCTCCATTTGACATATTGTTTTTTAGCAGTCAGGTGTAGAAGTCTCCCCTTCTCCCTGTAAACATGCAGGTGCTGTGACCTTGATTTCCTTGTTTCCCCCATGTATACTGTGCTTCATTGTCTGCCTCACTAATCCAACTGTGAATGGGCTCCCCAACAGACATGTGGTTAACTGTCAATAAGTTTTAGCTGAGCTTGGTTTTAATATCAAATTACTGTTGTCAGCTTAATGCAAATTGTATACAAGTGTTGTCAGTTCAAAATTATGTTTGCTAATGAAGACTCTTAATACTTAGGAAATAAGTTCTAATACAATACAGGTCTGGAAACAGTTGAGCTTCTAAGAGAAGCTATCCAGTAAAGCATCCTAAACATAATAAGGAATTGCAGTGTGTGTTACAGCCTTAAACCTGAAGAATGAAGAAGAGTGCATGGAAGAGCTGAATATTGAGGAGATTGTTTACTTTGCAAGTGGCTATTTCTTTTTCTGGTGAAGTGTTAAATGTAAATTAATAAAGAATGGTTATTGCTTTCTCTTGGTATATTCATTACCATTTGAACTCCAGTGCATACTGGATTTATCTTCCCTGGAAATTACTCACTTTAGCTAGAGAGCTTATTGTTTGTAGTGGTGTTAAGTACTTTTCTGTGCTTTGGCAGCCCCATTAAACACTGAATTGCGGAACAGTAGCAGGTGCAGGGGAACTTCTGTGAGTTTTGGAACCTCAGCAGTTTTGGTTTTTTGAGTCTTCAGATCACTTAAAGAGACAGCATATACTTTTTTAAGGCAGCCTTAAACAGCAACTTCTGTTAATGTCAGTTGATGTAGTTTCAGTCAACTGAAGCAAATATGTGTGAACACTTAAACTAATCGACTGGACAGTTAAAACCGTTTTGTTTTCTGCAAAACAGAAACAAGCATTTAATGAGTGGTAAGAATGAACTGGTGAACATACAGAGGATTTGATACTAGCTAAATAGGCTTTATTTTAATACTAGTAATTTTGTCTGCATTTTATTTTAGAGACCTAAAATATCATAAGATTTTTATGCTAATTAAACAAAGTATCTGACACAACTAGGAAGAAATTAGCCCAGAGTATGCAGACTTTTCTTCCTTCCCTGCAAAACAGTGTACTTCTGGAAATTAAGTAGCTTGTAGTAAAAAGCAGGGGGAAAAAAATTGTGATGGAGGGTAGGTGTGTCAAGAGCAGTTTCCTGTAAGGATGGCTGGGTTCCACAGGATGAGGGGTGTGCGAGTTGGTGCTGTATGTGAGTATGGATTTTGTGAGTATGCACATACAAACACATTTTTAACCAGCCAAAGGTGAGCCATTGCAAGACAAAGATGTGCAGCTGATGTAACAAGCTGGGTACTAATCCCAGGAAAAAAGTTTGAGATCAGATAGTAGTATGTTGCTAAGCCGTGTCCACACTCCAAAGTCTGTAGAGATAACCCCTGTACCCTGCAGGGTGCCCCGTGCTACAGATTGTTGAATTGTGGGCACTGCTGTTGATGAAATGCTGTCTCTGACAAAGGTACTGTGTGAACAGCCCCGTGGAGGGCTGCGGTTGTTAAACGAATTGGAGCTGATTTGGGGATTAAGCCATGCTTTCCTGTTGTCATTACCAAAGCAACAGATCCCCTTTGTCTGAAGCTAAGCAAGCACAAGTCACATGTGGCAACTCTACCTGGTCCATTTACTTTGTGATTTACTCTGACAAAGGACCTAATTGAGGGAAGTTCAGCTGAAAACATTTACTAATGGGGTTGTCAACACAAGGCTCTAGAGCTGGGCAGGAAATGGCTCACTTGAGCCACTCAAGTCCCTGTCTGTAGTGGTGGGGATGGATACACTTCCCTGCTTTGCCAGCCCCCTTGCCCAAACACTGGTTGAGCAACTGTAGCACATGCAGGAGAGGAGCTCTGTCTCTGAGTTTTGGGGCCCTGGTAGTCTTGTTTTCCTGAGCTGTGTGTTTTCAGATCGCCTCCAGAATGTTTTCAGGGTCACCTTAAGCAGCGTGCTTTATTGAAGTGTCACTTACTCTAGCTTAGACTGGACAGTTAAAAAAAATGTTAGAAATGTGAAGTCTTTATCTCTTATGTATATGGTACTTTGTACAGAGTCATAGGGTTCAGTATATCTTATAGATGGAAAAAATAATTAAATCTAGGGTAAGGAGAAAAATCATTAAGGCTAATCTTTAGAAATTGTTGAGTACCTGCTCAACTAATACTATATTTTAATAGCTTCACTGCTTGTGAGCAGGTATTCTTCTGTTACCTACTGTGTACAGCTACCAGGGTTTTTCTTGTCCTTTGTGCATCTGTGCTCCCTCTTTTGTCATGTTCTACCTGAAAGTTCTTTAAAAACCTACAAAATCTTAAAGTCGCTGTTTCCACAGTAGAAGACTGTCTTTTCTAAAAGCTTTAACCTCCCCTATATGCACATCCATTTTTAGCTTCTGTTCTGTGTCTGAATTCTTGTTTAGAGAAGCATAATCCTACTGGCATTTGACTTTACTGTTCACAACAGTGCAAGATTTACCCAGTTGAAGTTGGTTTGTATGTCACTGAGATGGTGATGAATATGTTAACACCATGAAGGGAGGGGTGAGTGTTTTTACTTTTTTCTTTTGTGTGTTAGTCTTTTGCTAACCACTCTATAGGCTAGTCAGCATATTTTAAAGGAGCAGGATGAACATTCCTCAGCTCTTTGTTTCAGGCTAAAATGTTGTTGTTTATTCATGGAGCTACCCAGAGTGCAAAAATGGGCTGAAGACTTTGGAGCAGTTGCTAGGAATCAGCAACAGTTTAGAACTGTGGTAACTTTCATTGGCTTAATTTCCTTATTTTGTAAAAAGAGAATGGAAATAATGGTATAGTGAAAAACTGTGGTTGCTTAATTCCTCAAGGTCCCTTAAATACTCTGTAATTAAGGGGAAGAGCATTTTCAGTAAAGCATACTATTCTTTTTAAACAATATCGTGACAGTTTCATTTTGGGATTTCCTGGTATAAGCAGGTTTTCATTTCCTCCCTCATTATGAGTAATTTGACAGGTGATGCTTTTATTGGCAAGCTATTTTTCAAATACTTGAACAATTCTATCTATTCTGTAGTGACTCAAAGTTAGTCTGTCAGCAGATAAAAGATTTGATGGGTGAAGAGGGGTTTGTGGGTACCTGTCTGTCTATCCAGTTTTATTCTCTGGGCATGGTGGTGGTGGTAAATCCTTTCTCAAATACGTGGGATTGCAATGTTTCTTACTCCTCAGTACAAGTAACTAAGGTAGGATACACGTTTTGGCTTAGAATGTGTTGATCTCGGTGCTTCTGGCTCTTTTTAAATAAAGAGGATGCTCATCCAAAACCTTTGTCGGTTTCAGTTACTCTTTGATTTGTACAATTGGGATTTATTTCTTAACATCTGATGTTCCCTGTTGTTCAGGTGGCAAAAGCAGCACTCAAGGCAAGATGCTGCACTCAATAGAGTTGTTTCTGTAGTTAAGACTGCCTTGCATGCAAGCACAGAAAGCTTGAGTATGTAATATGAATATGTAGTATAGAATATGTAGCAGGTAGGCAGGTGTAGCAACAAATGGGGCCTTGTTACAGTGGGGGCTGCTTTTCACATGCAGATTTTGTTGCCTAATGGAAAGGAGAGGATCCCTTCTCACTGCTTTTATAAAAGTGTATGCAAGCACACCCCAAAGGTATAGCAGGTCTTTTATTTTGAAAAGAGGAATTAAATTATTCAGTAAGACAAAATGCAGAAGGGGAGATCTTCGAAGAAAACCTAATTTTTCACAAATTTTTCCCCTCATTTGGGTTGTAAAGTAATACTTCCTATATTTTCATAGGTAGAAAATGGAAACTGTATTATCATGGTTCTTAAAAACCCTCTTCCAAATACTAAGAGAGGTGCTGCTGCAAACCTGCATTCACATGCATTCTGCCAAGCAGACAGGTGTAAAGTAACAAAAAGCCAGCATAGCCTTTGCTCTCTGATTGAAGCTAGTAAGTCTTTTGTGGGTTCAGCCTTGGCCTGCTGCTGTTGCCATAATGCTACTAGACTGGTTGTTTTTTCTGAATGTACACTTGTACTGTTTGGTGTGTGTTTAAATCCTTACAGGTATTTTAGCTTATTTTGGGTGCTCATTTCCAACCAGGTGACTTTTAACCAAGGTGTAACCAACCTGGATCTGTATTGGCTTCTTGAAGAATTTTGAACTTCATTCAAGGTTGCTTACCATAAATTATCTGCCTGAGACTTAACAGCCAGACACTCAGAACTTGAATTTTGTCAAACTACACTGTTCCAGCCTGGTGCCTGCCTTTCTTCTCTCTCCCGCTGCCCCAGGTGTCAGGACCCTGCTAGTCCTGTAGAGGTAACAATTTGACAGAATGAATGATGGTTCTGCAGTGTTACTGTCTCTGTATTCTAATGCTATCATAGCACTTATGATAAGTCTCAAGTTGTGTGGTTGTGCTTTTCAGAGCAACCCTCCTTTCTGCCTCTCCTTGCCTCCCACCCAAAAAAAAACCCAAACCCACCAAAAAAGCCAAAAAACCCCACCAAAAAAAAAAACCCAAAGCACAGGAAGTAACATCCCCTGCTGAGGAAGTATTTCATGCAGTCACAGGGGAAGTGAAGACCATGTCAGCTGTCAAATCTTATGACAGCTATGTTTCTTGTAGGAAAGGAATTTAAAAGAGAACTCAAGTCATGGGAGAATCAATCTGTTGCTTATTTATGTCAATAGTAACCCCTGGAATATGGGAGTAAACAGATAAAAAGTTTTTCTAACAGTGCAAATGTTTCTGGTATTGTGCCAGATTTCAGAGAACTTAATAACAGTGCTGTCTCATGAACTGCAAATACTCATTTCTGTCTGTGCTGCAGCTGTGAGGGCCTGGAGCAGGTCTATGGACTTCACCAGAAATGTCCCTATTCGGTGTGAGTGGTTGTGCCCAAAACCTGCTGGAGTGACCAGTGCTTCCATCTGGCAAGCTCTGCTCTTCTGTCTTTCTCTCCTTTAAAAAAAAAAACAAAACAAAAAACCCCCAAACAACAACAGAAAAAACTCCTGGAGTTTTGCAATAAAGCTGTTTGTTCTTATGCTTGACTATTTTTTTTTTTCCTCTCATGTTAGGCACATTACAAAATAAACCCCTGCTGACATGAAAATCATATAAACAGAATCCTGGTGGGGTTTTCTCCAGAGCTGTCCTTTGCAGTAGCCGTTCCCTCTATGCTGAGTACCAAGAGACTCTAGGAGAAGCATGTAACTAATCTGAGTCCCTTTGGTTCAAGGGGTTATAAGGTCACAGAGAGAAGTGTTTAAAAACTCTGAAGCCCTGTGGAGACTGGGGAGGGGTGGTGGTGGTGTGTGTCTGTCCTGCCCTTTCTTTTTTTATTGTATGGTTCTAATTGTGTCTTTAGTGGTACTGATAGGAACATCAGCTTAAGCTGTAAGATCATGTAGTCATATGCAGAGTCGAAGTGGCCCACGCATCAAAAGTACTTAACTGTGTCAGTCACCAGCGCGTGGGGTGTAGCATCCTAAAACATGCAGGTAAAGTGTTTACCTGCCAAAGTTCAGAACAGCTTCCTCTGCTTTGCTTTGGTTTTGGCAGGAGTACTGTAGAATGAGTTTGCTGGTTTCCCATAAACACTTTCTTGTATAGCTTGTATGAGAGAAGCAAAAAGCTGCCTTAGAAATGTCTTGAATACTGAAAATGCTCTTATTCTAATTAGCTTATAAACCTGGTCTCTTAAGTGGTAGGTAGCTCTCTATCTGGTAATTAAAAAGAAAAAAAAAAGAAGAAAAAAAATCTTTTACTCCTTCAGTATTTTCTGTTCATCCTTTCATCAGGGTAAAACAGCGTGTTTTGTTTTATGCAGGAGTAATTTCCTGGTGCGGGGGGAATGCATATTTTAAGGCTATTCTGTGGTTTTGCTTAATGGCCACTGGGAGTACAGGCGTTTCCTGGTCCCTAATCAAAAACACTTGTCGGGAGGACACCCAGCGGACAGTTGCTGAGGTGTAGGGAGGGTCACTGAACGACTGTGAAAAGCTGCATGCACTTGGGAGGGGGAAACATGGTGGGTGTGGATGTAATGTATAGAAACATCTTTCTTCCTGAAGGCAAGACATGTGCATGAAGTCCTCAGGAAAGCCTGAGACTTCCCAGGCTTATCTTCTGAAGAGAAGCAGGTGATACTCTGGCTTCTCTGTCAACTGTAAACACATCACAGCTATAGATCACTGCTTTCCAAAGTCAGCAGGAGTGTTTTTATTCTTGAATCACTTCAGTCAGTTTCATCGTTTGATCATTTTACAGTTAACAAAAATCATAATCTTCAGATCACACTTACAGAATATTCAGGATTTTATCTCTGACTGCAGCTAAGGGTGTTTGCTGGCCAAAGTTCCCAGCACCACAGAAGAGGTGGTATTCACATTGAGGCTCACAGTTTAGGAAAGGAACTCTGGAAGGGACAAAAAAGGTGGGAGTGGTGGGAAGATGGGAGGTCACATAAACTTTTTGTCTCGAGAGTTGAGGCGGAGTGGGGTGATAAGAGCAGCCAAGCAAAGAAAGGGGCAGTCAGAGAACTGTATACAGCGCATACAGCTTTACCTGGGGTTTCTCTGTGTTGCACTAATGAACTTCCATCCCTGAATACCCTTCTTCCTTTGCTCAGCTATTCCTGTTCCCATCCCCTCCTCTGCCCGCTTGTAATAAGAAAAAATACTGAAATAGTATATGCTTCTCCTCCCTTCCTTTATGTAATCCCTTTGTAGCTTTTCAGTTTCCTTTTGTCTTCTCCCCTCCCCAGTATGGAAAGTGTATCGCCTCTGCTACTCTGCTTTTATTTTATTGTGTCCTTCACCATTGTCCTTTTGTTCGTTGCAAGTTCTTGAAGGTCCTGTATTTGTCCACCCAACACCTAGCAGGGTAAAGCCTTGCTCTTTGGTCTTTAAATGCTCCTGCAATAAATACAATATGCAGTAGGAGTTTTGTCATTCATCAGTGAGTTTGCTGCTGTACTTTCTTTGCCAGTCAAAGCTGTGGTTTGCTCCAGGACACTTATTGTTTCTCACTTATAAATTTTTATTCAGCTTTGAATGTGAACACTGTCTCTGTGAATAGTTGCTATGAAGTTTTAAAAAAAAAAAAAAACCACAACCACCAAAACCAAAAACACAAAAACCAAACCAATCCAAAACAAAAAAACCCCATGATATGAGAAGGAAGATATAGGGGAAAGAAAGTGTCCAGTTGTTTTCTTGAGGCTTGATTTCAATTAAAAACCAAACAAAACAAACACAACACACCTGTTCACACAGGTCTTATTTAAAGAGCTGAGACTAGTAGGCAGTATATTTTCCCCTTGTACTGTAGCTGTTCTGGTTTAAGCACCTTGTTTCATTGCCTTGCTGCCTGCTGATTTTATTAGTTATGTAGCGACTGGCATGCTTTTGCAACTTTGTTTGCTGCTTAGTGACTTGCAGAAGATGACCAGAGCTGCCACTGCCAACAGTTACAGATGGCTGGAAAAAGAACCATGCATTCTGAATTTAATATAACTCGTTTCAGACTTACTTTCTTCGCTCATTCTGATCTTTGATAATAAAATCATCATCACTATCTCTCTCTTTATTTTGTAGTTTTGCCAATTTGAGAATTCACCCTCATGGATTAGTGTTGGTGGATCTGCAGAGCTACAATGATCATACAAAAGGAAGAGAAGAAGTCCATCAGGTATGAGTGATGCTTATCAAACTGCATGGGGAACCCTTCTTTTCTTCAGGTCTATAAAAGTAGATCTTGGTAAAAGATTTTTAAATATCAAAGTTAGTTCAAACCTGAATACTTACAAGATGAGGAGTAGTAACAATACCTATTGTAGTTGCATACTCATGTGAGTGTGCACGCACACTCCCTCTTTCATGTCCTGGGCCTCATGTTCTTTCTTGTAAAAGTTGTAAAGACCTAGCAGTCTTGGTTAGGGCTCAGGTCTCTTCAGGCACCCAGGGCAGCGAGGGAGAAGTGACACTGAACCTGCAACCTGGTGTATTAGAGTATGACTTTTTTCCTTCTCTAATCTGAGAGATGGGGAGCCTCTATACTCAAACTTCTTCCCCTTGGAGAAAAATAATTTCCTCTTCCCTGATATGAAGGCTTCAGAAATTGGATATTGCAGGGGAATAGGCCACTGCTTGGGCAGGAATTAAACCTTATAGTGTTCTCATGTTCCCTCTTTGGCTGTGCCTGAAAGGTCTGGCTATGTTATCATGGAGGACAGCTGAACACCGTGATGACAGCTGCTACAATACTCACTCACATTCTTCCTAGTAACAAGGCTAAGGTGGCCAGCTAGTTATTCATAGGCTCCTAATGTTACACTTCAAAGCCTTTCAACGCAGGTGCTACTTTTTATTGCCTTCCAAGTAGCCTAATTTAACAGATATTTTACATTAAGTGATTACCTATAAATTCTGTTTGTCTTGTTTTCTATTTTTTTTCAGCTTCTAAACAAAGTAGAAGAAAGAATGAAAGAATTGTTTCATGGCAATATAAAAAGGGTGAAACGGTAAGTTCGTATATCTACTTCTGTATGCAGCTACTCTACATAGTTGCTAAAGATAATAAGCAAATTATGCTTTGCTGTACTGTGATGAATAGCCTGGAGTATGAATTTATGCATGTGGTTTTTTCCCCAATATTTAAAAATTGTTTCATTGCAGAATTGAAGATACTGTGAGGTTTGTCATTTTGTCAAGCTTCATCTTCAGTATTGTTACTTCAGGCAAGGATTATTTCTTTAATTTGCTGCAATGGTTGCATGAAATAGTGGGAGAAAATGCAACCAGGAAACAAGAGCAGACTGCTCTGGCTGGGGAGCCAAGGGTGGCAGGGGGATAGGCCAGGGCATAAACCATGCCCTCCAGGCCATATCCCATAGCTCGTGGACAAGGCAAGCAGGACTGGTGATGGTGACCAGGGTCAGCCCCAGCCCTGTGACTGCCAGGCTGGGCTGTAGTACTGAGGCAGCTCTGATACCAAGCTGGGTGTCGAGGACTGGCAAAAGACTTGGGCAGGCGTGGGCAGAGTTGCTGTGTAGCTTGGTGAGGGACCAGGGGTGAGGGCTGGAGCTAAAATGAAGCTCAAGCCCATGGAGGAAGCCCTGCCCTGACAAGATTGCCTGCAGCTCTTTCACAGCTCTGCTCCAGCTGTGCCTCATGGTGTTAGCCTTAGGAACATATGGCAAAAACCCTGGGGGAACGTGTGCGCTTAGGGCCCTGCCAAGAAAGTAGAAATGTTTTGTAGGATTTTTTTTTCTGTTTTCTTTTTAATGTGCTTTGAATCCTTGTGTTGTTAGCTTCACGCATGCAGCTCCACTAGAATTAATGCTGCTGGAAAAGTTGTTCCTGCCTTTTTGTTTGTCTTGATGTAGTGAATAGATGCTCTTGCTCTCACCGTGTGCTGCCATCTCGCGGCTCACTGAGGGTAGAAAGTATTTCTGAAATGTTTATTGAGAATCATTAGTGCATTTACAACAAGCTTGTCTATGCCTTGTCTTCTGCTACACCTTCCTCGGGGTGGGGGCCACCAAACAAAAAAAAAACCAACCCCAAAAACCCCTTAACTCTCTGAAGTGTGTGTGTGTGTGTGAAATCTGATTAATTCTGTGCCCATACATTTTGCTTAAATGGAATGCAATCATTTTGATCATTCACTGCCATTTCAAATATAGTTTGTCTTTACAGGTGAAATACTGATTTGAACCAAGATACTTCCATATGGAATTAAAAAAACCCCAAACAAACAGCAAAACCAAAACAGTCTAAGCAGATGCTTGAACCACTTTTTAAAAGTAATGCAAACTGTCAGCTGATATCAAGGATTGTGCTTATATGCTGCAGGGTGACCTGGCTCAGTTTGAACCACTATAATAGTTCAGTTTTTGTGTTTGTGTATGTTCTTAAAATGTCTCTCAGTACAACTTAGGGTGAGATCCACTAGTCTCAAAGAAATGGCATTCTTAGCTGAGCTGAAGATGGGATGAGGTTTTGTCATGTTTTTTTGTCTGCATTCTGCTTTTGTATTGTCTCCTTTTCTAATCATGAGCTGATTCTTCTGCAGAGGCTGGTATGTTATGTAAATAGCATCTCTTAGGGTAGAGATAGATTGATGTGCACATTGTAGAAGTTATACATAAAGAACCACCATTTATTTCATCTGTGCCTTAGCAAGTTATGTATACTTAACATATGGCTGATGGGTTTCTTACATCTGTTGAGTGTTAAATCTTGCAAGTTTTCATAGATCCCTCTTGTAAATATTATTTATTTATTATGGTGAATCCACAGGATGTTTAGAGGGAATTTTTTTTTTAAAAAGTAAACATTCTCAAATGTTTTGTAATCTTTATTTCTTTCTAGATTGCCAACCATTTTGAGAGGAGGTGTCGTTGATAGATACTGGCCCACAGCTGATGGCCGCCTGGTGGAGTACGACATAGATGAAGTTGTTTATGATGAAGATTCACCTTTTCAGAATATTAAAATCCTGCATTCAAAACAGTTTGGGAATATTCTTATCCTCAGTGGGGATGTTAGTAAGTATCATCTCATTTGAGGATTTTTGGCATGAAATTGTAGGAAGTGTTTTCTATCTTGCTATGGCACAGTTTTAATAGATGACTAAGTCATGGGTTTGCTGCTGGAAGCTACAAATATGCATGTACATGTATATTTGTTCCTGTATATAAAGTATTTTAATCAGAAAGGCTGACCAATGTAAAATCTAGAGTACAAAAAAAGATTTCTTCTTTTTCCAACATCATTGTCTTTTCTGTGGAAGGTAGCTCAGGAGAAGTGTTCTAGTTTAGCCTGGCAGGCAGCTAAACACCACACAGCCATTCGCTCACTCTCCCCCTCCACAGTGGGATGGGGGACAGAATTGGGGAGAGGGGGGAAAATAAAATTCATGGGCTGAGATAAAGACAGCTTAGTAGGACAGAAAAGGAACGGAAGTTAATAATATACGAAAGAAGTGATGCTCAATGCAATTGCTCACCATCCGCTGACTGATACCCAGCCCATCCCTGAGCAGTGATTGCTGCCCTCTGGCCAACACCCCGCAGTTTCTATACTGAGCATGATGTCATATGGTATGGAATAGCCCTTTGGCCACTTTGGGTCAGCTGTCCTGGCTGTGCCCCCTCCCAGTTTCTTGTGCCCCTGGCAGAGCATGGGAAGCTGAAAAGTCCTTGACTTAGTGTAAGCACTGCTCAGCAACAACTAAAACCTCAGTGTGTTATCAGCATTATTGTCATCCTAAATCCAAAACACAGCACTGTGCCAGCTACTAGGAAGAAAATTAACTCTATCCCAGCTGAAACCAGGACAAGAAGTCAGTGTTCTTTCTAGCAGAGCTTACTCTACTCCTTTCTTTCATATGAGATTTTACTTGTTTGTTGCAAGTCCAACCTCTCAAGGGCTTCTCTTTGACAGTAAAACAAGCTATGTTGTCAGTCTTCAAAACACAGTGGAATTCTAAAGAAATATGAAGAAGTAGGAGCTGGTGGGTGTGTGTGCGGGGATAATACTGCTCACTAATTCTCTAAGGGAATTACCTGCTTGGTGAGATACAAGACAGCTGTGTCTTAAAGCATTTAGCTGCTTTGTTGGTGAACATCTTTTTGACTGTGTCTTCTTCAAAATGCTCAGTTGAAATCTAACTTAATCAGAAGTGACCCAACATTTATGGGAGGGTCTTTATATGTGGTAGTCTGTGCCTGCTGATCTTTGTATTTTTGAATATGAACTTGGGAGAAGATGGGCTACTGTTCTTTTAAGATAGATAAGAATGCTGTTTGCTAGAAAATCTAGGCATCAAGAAGTATGCTTTGTAAAATCTCTTGGTACTTACATTGAAAAGTACTGACTGAGGTAAATGAGGGATGTTGCTGTCTAGGGATAGGATACCTCATTTCGGTCTAATGGCAAAGTATAGTTAAGAAATTTGACCATAGCTTTTTTGATATAACTGGAAATACCTCTAACCATTTAGCTTTCTGCAACTGTCAGCGGGACTTCTGTGTAGATGGCAGCTGAAAAGTGTTATTGAATTCATTAGCAAGGTATTTTCTAATTCAGTTAGAATTGTATTTGAAATCACCAAATTAGGTATTCTATACTTCTAGCCAGAAATTTTCATCAGAGTCTCATATGGAGATGAGGTTTTCTTTGAACATTGTCACAATGTGCCTCATAGAAAGGGAAGTATGCAATTACTTACTTTCCATGGGATTTTAAAATACTGCATTGTGTCACTTTGTTATTGCGCACTTATAAGTGAAGTGCTGGTTGCCAGGCAGAATGATAGGATCTGCCATGATGTGCTGCTGCACAAAACTTTGCCCTTATAGCTCAGATCTGTTATTACAGCTTAGGAATGTTATCGCCTGCTTTGAAGCTAATAGTGAACAAGTCGGCAGAAGACATGCTTCAGGGTGCTTCAGCAGTTTGGTGTTAATGGTCATACTTATGCTTCTGTTCAGGGATCCACTGGGGTGTATCTAGGTTGCTCTTTTTAGTTGGGGTCCAGTGTGTGCTTTCAAAAATCTCCTGATTTTTGTCTCGTGCAGCACTAGCCTGAGGTAAAAACCCACTGAAGTATCAAGTGTGGACATCAAGTCCTAAGTACTGACAGTTTTGCTCTACAACTTTGCTTCCTTTGGCACGTAGTACTTCCTAATGCTGAGGTAGCCATTGCTGGGTTTGCACTGAGAACTAGAGAAATCCTGTGTGGGATTCTGAGGATCTCATTAGCTTTGGTAAATCACCATCCTCCCATTCATTACCTGGACTGTGAGAGCTAGGTTGTTTCTGTAAATGCTCTTGTTTTGGCCTGTATTCTATCACCTTTGGATTACTACCAAATTAATACCAATTAATGAGAAGAATTAAAGATTTAATGTTTCTGTCCAACTCTTTCTCTTCCATTCAGATCTGGCAGAGAGTGACCTGGCATATACTCAAGCCATAATGGGCAATGGAAAGGAAGACTACACTGGGAAAGAAGTGCTAATCCTAGGAGGTGGTGATGGAGGTATACTATGTGAGATAGTCAAACTGAAACCAAAGATGGTTACTATGGTAGAGATATCCTTTGACAAATGACTGATCATTCCTTTCAACATTTTTCAGCCTGTGTTTTCTGCTTATGTCTTAGCATTGAGCACAATTAACTATTAGGTTCTGATTTGTGTGAGGAGATAAGGACTAAAATGAAATGTCTGTTTGTCAGCTTAGAGAGACCCAGTGACTACGTATTTGTGCATCATTATGTAGCACGTGCTTTCAAGTGGCCAATCTACTATAACTCTTGAGTAGCAGTTTACATAGAACTGGAAAGGAACACTTCTGTCATCAGACTGGTATCTTCTCTGATAACAGAAGACAGGTCTGTTGAGTCTGCAGTTTGGGCCGAGTTCCTTCTTGGGTTCTTCTGTTTTTCTAAAGAAAGCTATCTAAAAAACAAAAAATCCCTAGAAGCAAAAAAAGTTTAATCAATAAGAATTTCAGGATTTGGTGAATTGTGTTGGTGGCAGAATTGACCAACTGTTGCCCTGTCTTAAAAATACTGACACAAATCAAGTTTTCGACATTCTGTAGTTCAAATAGTTTGTAATGTAAACCACTGTTAGCCACATGAAATGTTGATCATTCTAGGTTTGGGGATCCCCTTGCTTAGAAACGAAAAATAATTGTTTTAAAAATGTAGGTTAAAGTCTTAACCTAGTTTAGCCCTATGGGGTTTTAAAATACACCATCCTATTGTTCACATTTCAAGTTTTCACCATAATGGTAATCTAAGGTACTGGAAATACTGGTCAAAAACAATAATAAGCACTTCCTAAACCTCTAACTGAATGTGGAGGCAAATACGTAAGGTTAGCTATTGCAATATGTATACCAAGATACACATCTTACTATTCTTTTGTGAACGTCAACTTTTTGAGAATTTCTTTCTGAAGAAATAGAAATTGTTACCTGTATTATTTCTGGAACGTAGAATGCCTTAACCAGCTTCAAACATTGACCAAATGGTGATCGACGGGTGTAAAAAATACATGCGTAAAACATGCGGAGATGTCTTAGACAATCTGAAAGGAGAGTGCTATCAGGTAACTTCTTGGTTTTCTTTCATGAGAGTAATATTTCAAATATAGTTATACCTAGCCTGGAAGACTGCTATGGCAAAGTCTTGGGGAAAAATATTGTAACTCTCCATCTTCAAACTCTTTTAAAAATAATTACATTTAGCTTTTAAGGAATGTGAAATAGGAGAAGGTTTATTGACATAGCTTACAAATAAAGAGGAAATAGCAGTAAGGATGCAGTGCCGAACGTCATTCCTTAAATTAATGAAAAGGTAGAAGAAACATGTTTTTAAGGTAGTTGTTCTGTACTGTTGAAAATCATCTGAATTTGTAATACACACTTTAAAATTATTTTCAATTTGCAGGCAAAATCTCTTACCATTACACTTCTAGTATATTAAAAATTAAAAAAACCCAAAAATTCATGCATCCCAGCAGTTAAGGTCTTTAAGCTGTCAGATGCAGCACCTACAAACTAGCCTGGGTGTAATCTGACATCTTCACTGGAAACCTTTTCTTTCTGTTCTCATTACTGCTCCTTAAGGCTCTCACAGGTACTAGTTTACAGGTGTGAGCTAAAAAAGCATGCAAAAAAATTAGCAGAGAAGTCACATGCTACTTTGCATGAGTCCATGGCCCTTCACAGAAATACGTTAGTTTACTGTTGGGGGACTGCTAACTGTTGTTATCATTTGGTAGGCGGAGCAGTGGTCACCCAGGAATTGGTGACAGAGCTAGGAAATTCAGTCCAGTAGTGCCTATGTTGTTGTTGTCATAATTCCTACAACTGTTCCTCCTTTTTATATATGATGTGAAAAGTTGAAAATGGAGCCTAAAATTAAATGCGTATTTGTTTTTGTACTTTTCCTCTCCTCTTAATTCCTGTGAATCAGCATTTGTTCCTTTTACCTGGTCCGTTTTAAGGTATTTTGAGGACTAGCTACAGTATTTCATTCTTATAGGTTCTGATTGAAGACTGTATTCCTGTGCTGAAGAGGTATGCCAAAGAAGGAAGGATGTTTGATTATGTAATTAATGATCTGACGGCTGTTCCAATCTCCACATCTCCAGAAGAAGGTTAATCTTATAATTTATTTTCCTAAACTTCTGAGGATTTTCCATGTTTCTGCCCCTCCGCTGCATAATGGTTGGCAGTTTGCAACAAAAATACTTTGATTCTTGCCTTTTTGATAGCAAATCTGAGAGGCAAAGAATGATGGTAACACATCTATTCTTTTTGAATTTTTCTTGAATGTTAGAAAAAAGTTAGCAAGTGCCTAGGACTTTTTTTAAACTGTGCTCTTATTCCAGAATAACATGAACTCATGTAATTCTTGAAAAGGTATTTGGGGAGTTCACAATCCAGTAAGTTTCTCCCCACTCTACAGTTTCTTGGAAACGTCTGTAAAATTACTGTGAAGAAAACCAGAGATACTTCCACCATCATTGTCATTGTGTATGGGTTGCGCGAGTTCTTAGTGGCTTTTTTTCCTTGTTGGTTTGTTGTTTTGGGGTGTTTTTTTTTTTAAAGGTATAGGATAGCTACTTTTTAAACAGTAGATATGTTGCAAGTCTTGAACATGTAATAGTGAACAAGCAGGTAATGTGCTGTTTTGTTTTTAAATCATACTCTATATGCAGAGTCCACATGGGAATTTCTGCGGTTGATTCTTGATCTCTCAATGAAAGTCCTGAAACAAGATGGAAAATACTTCACGCAGGTATGATATCTGGATGTAAAAAAGTATTGCTGTACATGTATTGCAGTGCGCATTTTTCAGGTAAAAAAAAAAAAAGGAAGGGGACAAAACCAAACCAACTAACTAAAAATCTATTAGCAAGCTGTTTTTCTCCTTTTAACTACTCATTAGAGATTTTTGCATGAAATTTGGGCTTTGCTAACTGACTTTTTATTTCAGCTGAATTTGTAGTGCTTGTGTCTTTGAATTCAAAAGCATAATTTCAAGAATCAGCTAGGCATATTACAGAATAGTTTAGCTGTAAGCAATTCTTGGAAGAGCAGAACGGATGTACTTTATAAACAATACACTCTACAACTGGAGATACTGGCTTAAAAACCATGTAAGACGTGAAAATTTGTCATCCATAAAGGTGTAAGAATTTGACATAGGTGCAATGGGATAAGAAAATCAGTCATTTGGGAGTAAATACTCTCCTTTTGCTTGCTATCCACTCCTAACGCAAGTCACTGGTTTGGCTTCTGCTAAATGGATTTTGAATATTTGAGTATGTTTGTTACAATGCTTGGCATTTGGAAGTATTTTATATAGTAATAAAAAAGATTTTGTCCTTGTGTATGAAGTTTTTAATGCAACTCTACTTAAATAATTCAAGATTTGTATACTTGCTACAGTATAGCTACCTCATGGATAATGTAATTGTAGTATAATTTTCATCTGAAGATACTTTCTGTGTGTAATCCTGAATTCGGAATGCCACAAAGTTGTGTGCAATTGTACAAAAATGTGACGAGATCCAGCAGATGGTTGAGTAAAGTGTAAGTCTGTGAAGCTATATTTCTTCTGTCATGCCCATACCTTAACTAGTTTTCTGATGTGTGGAGCATATAAGTACAGCATTTTGAAATAATGTTGTTAAGCTCTGAAATAACCTAGCTAAAATTATGCGTTTGAACTCTATTCCTATCAGCATAAAGTTCTGAGGTGTGTAAAGGAACTGGTTTACTGTAGAATTCAACAGGTTTATAAAGAAATGCAAAACTCATAGAATGAGGTTTTTGGCAACTTTAGTGTGCTGCTTTATTTTAAAATGCTGTGGTTTTATGGGCAAGATAAATTATCTTGTGGTTGAAATAGAAGATGACTAATATGGTTGTATCACACTGTAAATATTAATGGCTTTTCTATAATAGTGGAAATATTTATGACAGACCGATATTGAAAGGATGCTACATCTTTTGGACTGAGCAAGCGTTTGTGTTGCAGTTGTCATACTTGTACACAGTGGGACTAGCTGACTTTATTAGAACGTAGGTAGCTGACTTTATTAGAACGTATGTAAATGTATGTCTGTGGACAGGTATCTGTCAGACTTTGCAGAAGGACTCTGGGAATAAGCTTGTGCTGAAAGTTGGTGTGATGGCTGTGCTGCAGCCAGGGTACAGGGAGGTGGTTTTGTGTCAGCTGAAACCAGTAGAGGTTGAGCCTGGTGCAGCCCTGCTGCCTGTCCTGGTGGGAGGAGGTAACTCAGCTTCCAGCATCTCTGCTTGCACAGGAAGAAAGGACAGCAGTACTGAACCAGCCCTGGTGGGTTTAAGCTGTTGTGAAACTGTGCAATATCAGTTTCACAGTCCCAAAGCAACGAGGTGGGCCATGGCAGGATAGGAAAGCAACAATATTAAAATTGAAGTGGCTTGAGTTTGGACTTATGGCTAACTGGTAGCCAGTGAAAGGGCTGGAGTATAGAAGCAGCGTACTCTGGCGACTTAGTCTTCCTGAGGGTGTTGAAAAAAGGAAAATTAATATTGGGGCAAATGGCTCTCAGAGCTTTTGATATATCTACTGATACACTATCCAGCCCATTTGATGGTCCTTGTAGCCTCTTCCCAGTTGGGCCTGATTTAAAAAGAAAAACAAATGGAAAAACCCTCAGAAAACTGAGTAGTCTGATCATAGGAAGAACAGACTTTTAGGGGTGCTTTAAATAAAGTCAGCTGTCTATAACTTTCTTTAAAGTAGGTTTTGAATTAAACTAATTGAAGCTGGCTATCCAAAGGATTGGGTTAGACTATGGACAGAAGTTCAAATATGACTGCTACTGACTTTGGTAGCTGAGCTTAGTCACACACTGGGAACTCATAAATGGTTTTGAATACTCTCATGTGTTAGCTGTTAAATGCCAGTGTTTAGCTCTGAGTATGAACGCTGGGCGCTTAAGTTACTTTTGTTCCAACTGTCTACTTCCAGGATGCTTATCTTAGGTAGCAGGCTGTACTTTACTTGCTGAAGGAATCACATGCCTTTTAAGGCAGTTGTGTTTTTAAAATCCAGGACGTTGCCCCACACATACCCCCCCAGGCTTTCTTGAAGAGCGTTTTGGCTCTCTAAAACATAAAATATGTTAAATATCATCAGGAAGAGTGACTGGGGGAATGTCCACCTATTTGTTAGAGCTTGACCTTTGCTATGATGAGGAAATGTCTCATAGGAAAGATGCTGCAAAAGGGTCATCATCCGGTTGGCTACTGGCCAGTAGCTGTAGTTGCTTCTTCTGCCCTGGCATTATGTTGTACTAACATTTGAAGCTTCTGTCCTCTGATAGTTCTGCTTGCAGGGGTTACCCTGTGCATCTTGTTGGAATGTCATTTATTTGAATACTCAAGAAATGCTTTACCCAGAAGTGGAATTTTGTTTACAGAATGCCAGCCTTTCACATACTGTATTGCTGCTTGACTTTCTAAATGCCACTGCTGGGAAATGTTCATCACCTCTTCATTGAACTCTGCACAAGTTTTGGAAAATGTTCTCTTCAGCACATGAATAGACAGCTCTAGACCCTGCCTGCTGACAAATTCTAGATAGAGAGAGATTTATCTGAGATTATCAAAAGAATTATTTTTTTGGCATGCTATTCTGACACAGCTGGTTGTTCTCCCAGGATGCTGTGGTGATCCTCAAAGCAATCTCTAAATGCTAATGCAGAATATGCTTTCACCACTAGGTGGAGACTGGTAACTAATACTGCCTAGCAGTTTATTAACATCTATAGAGAGAGTCTTCCTGTAAAAGGTTTTTCAGACTATTTATTCATATTCCTAGGCAATGCAAGAACATACATGGCCAATTTTAGGATGAAGGAGGGACTTCTTGCTTATTTCAGCCCTGGAAAGATAAAAGGGCAGTTTATGGATCTCATTCTCTGCTGCTGTAAGTCTGTGCTTAAGTGTATCAGGGGGGAAAAATGCCTCCATACTTGCTTTATGCAGCAAAAAAAAAAGTAATCACAATGAGAACAAAAGCTTACTTGTACGAGTAGCAGCCTTGCTTTTCCTGTCCTTGCTTTTTTTAGCTGCATCATCCATATTGAGAGTCTTGCAGCCTACATAGGACCTGGACAGAGAGGTGAGCTTTAGGGCCCTTAGCATGCAGAACTTGCAGCCCTGTCTGTAAGTTTAAGACTTGAGGCTTGTTTGCAAAAATTTGCTGTTTAACATAATCCCACTACTCTGATGCTTAAGGGTCATATGGCTTGCAATATTTCTGTTCTTCCTTCTTCTGAAGCTGGTGTTTTGAAGTGTTTAGTGATGTAATAGGGGTCTGGGTCTGTGAGGTGCTCAGTGTTGCCTTCTCCGATGGGAGCCAGTTACAGGTGCAGGTTCCCAACCATCACAGGGGAGAGAAGTGGCAGTCAGTGAGGATGTAAGAACTTGGCGTATCCTGAGGTCCAGTTTCATCTCTAATGGACCTTCCTAGTGACTTGTTTCTGAACATGTTAAGTGTTTATATGCTATTGGACCTCCTGAAAGCCAGTATGATCTTTAGATTGCCCAAGCAATTTTTTTCAACTTCAGTGGATACTAGTGTGATACATTTGTGGGTTTTTTTCTGAACCATCACCATCCTCTGCCTTCCAAGTAGCATGTGAGGATTGTCCCAACAGCTGTGAAACTATGCTCTGTAAGATGCAGAGACTGATTGTAAGGTTGTCTCTGTGTGTCAGTGGATTGCATGTGACTAAGAAAATGCCAAGTTTTTGCTCTGCTGATCTAATCCTTTGAGGTTGAGCAAGCTATCTATCATTTTCAGTCTGTTTATGAAGTGCAACCTTTAAAAATACCTCTGAACAGGAGTGCTCTTTCCTAGTCTGGGTCATCTAACCCAGGCAGGATAGAAACAGTCTCAGACCACTCACAAGTTTGGGTTACAATAAACAGCACTAACCACTGGTGCAAGGGATCAGATGTCTCCCACGTGCACATGCAGCCCTCCACCAAGCTGTTGCTTCCTGGCCGCTCTCTAATACAGCATGGCCCTGCCCTCTAAATGTCCAGACCACCATGATGTTGCTTCATAGTTACAGTCCTTTTTTTGGCTGCTGTGTGGGTTTTCTAATTAGCACTTCCAAAGAGGGAGCAGGGTTCTCCTTGACTGCAACGTGAAAGGAGTCTGGAAGAACGGATGCATGCCCCTGTGTGAGCCTATGTGATTTCTTGGCAGTTTGGGAGTCTTTAAGGGACAGACATTTCATTTCCTTGTGTTACTGAGAGTTCAGTTTCAAATTGATTCTTTGGCCAGTGGAGATGCCTTCAGTCAGGTTTGCTTCTATTATCTCCTTAAAAGCCGTCACTGTCACCCAAAACTCAAGCCCAGATTTGATGCTAGGTGTTTCATGCTCTATGTATCTCATTGCTTCTTAGTCCCTCTGACATGAGGAAGGAAAAAACCCAACCTTGGCCATGTTCAACTCTGGCACTTCTCATTACAAAATAAAAATAGAAAACTATGTTAAATTAAAAATAAAAATTAAACTTCTCTGCTGTCACAGACAAGGTGTCCAGTGGCAATGACACATAGGGTTAGACATGCAAGAATGACATGTAAGAAATGGGCAAGTATGGAAAGGGACCCTTCCATCTGCTTTCGAGTCAATAGTTTACTTTCTAAGGTTGGAGGAAGCAGAGAGGCCTAAATTCAGCCTATAACCAGTTGATGGACACATCCCCCTTATAGGTGGGTAAAGTTAACTGGAACTTATAGGGTTCATTTAAACAAATTCTTTTTTTTCTACTTATTTTAAGGAATGTTTTTTATTATCTGCCCAGAATTGTATTTATTATTTAAATTCTTTGTGCGCTGTGCTGTAGAAACCTGAAAACTAAACCTACGGTACTACATAATGTGTGTCTCATGAAAGCCCAGAAGAATTGGTGTTGGGAGACAGGCATGAGCTGTCAGAGTGTGTGCAAGCACTGACCAGACTCAGAACGTAAAGGCTGTGAAACAGTTCAGGAATTGTCAGTCTTAAACAAGGTCTTATAAATACAGATTGGTTAAACTCAAAGTTTAAAACTACCTCAAATACTCTTGTGTCAGAGAGATGCTTGTTAAGGAGAAAAAATTTTCAGCATTCCCCGTTTGTCTGTCAAATTGTTTGACATGGAGCAAAGATTAAGTAAGGGGAGAGGGCAGAGGAGTTTGGTAGGGTTTTTGTATATGTTGAAAATTGAACAGTGTGGGAGAAAAAAAGTCTGATGTTGCTTATTTCCCTTTGAAAAAGTGTAATAGGTGAGTCATCAGCTTTAAACCTTATTAAACACTGATCAATATTAGTTATTGCTTGAGTTTGTGGTGGCTGTTCTGAACAAAAAAATGTATTGCTCTACCACATAACTGTTTTCATTAGGCAGGAGAATTAAAATGAACACAGGTTATTAGATTGATCACTGTATTGCATTCTGGGCTTGGTTCCTTGTGTCATATTTTAGCGATGCAAGAACATCTAAGTGTGACTGATGTCATTATCAACACTGTAGTCTTAGTTGATAAAGTTGGTCACTTCTTTCAGAAAGGTGCCAATAACAGTGATTTTTCAGTAACTTTCCTCTATTGAAAAAAGTTCATCTAAGTTGTGTAGATTTAATTTCTGGAATTCTTAGCTTTTTTGAGTAAAGCCAAATAACTGCAAAAAAAATGCAACTGTGCAGAATTATAAAATCCTGTGGTGTCTCTCCAGAAGGAGAGGTTAATAAAACAGCCAGGTGGGATGTCTGAACTTTTAGGTAAGATCTTGATTTGGAGATTGGGGAGTTGTGGGTTTGAAAAGTAAAAATTGCTTATTGGCATGTTTCATTGTTCCTGTAATTTGTTTTCCACACTGTCTGCAGTGATTTGTCTGTTGCTGGAGAAGGGAGAAAGGATGAAATGCTGAAGCAACAAGCTGGGAAACTGTGGATACTTTTATCTCATTGTATAACCTATTAAACTTCCTCCGTAATAGTGGTATGCTCCATAAATTACCTAGCAGTGTTTTCTATTTATGACTCAAATTACACACACAGGTTGTTTTTTAGTTTTCTTATGCATTCAGTCTGATGTTGAAACAAAATTATATGTTTGGTAAAGGGTGGCTGAACCAAATAACTGCTATAGTCCCCTGGATAATAACAGGTTACTAAACAAGTACTACAGTAGTCTGTTCATTGTTGTGCTCAGTTAGTGTTCATCTCTTACCTTTTTACAAACAGCTTCTTGTTTCTGATACCCAAACCCAAAATACGATACATTCAATATAAAGCATGCCATCTCCTTTACCAAATAAACAAGTACGCATTTGTTCATGGAATATGATCAAAATGATAATCAAACACATGTTTTATGCAAGTTCTTTTGAAAGAGAGCTTTCAAGAATATGATTTTTTAAGTTGAGGTTTTCTTTTCCATTTGTGAACACTTGAGCATAATGCAAAAAATTCATTGAGCATGGTGCAAAAAAATTCAGAGGTTGAACAGTAGGATAAAGTCTGTGACTGTAGGACAGCTATAGTTTTTAATTAGATCTAGCCCTTTTTCTTAGTTGAACCATCTGCATTCTTTCACAGTCAGATGCGAGTTATGGTATCTAAGGGCAGGAAGGGGCAAGATACCTTGTTCAGTAATTGGGGAAAAAACCCAATATTGTGTGTGTGTGCACAAACATTTCCAGAAGTCATTCAGAGCAGAAGGAAGATACTGCCATTCTGTAGGTGGAGTCTGTTGCTTTAGGCTTTCTTGTTCTTGTGTGTCTCTCTTCGGTCTTGTAGACCGTGCAGTGGTGACTATATTCAACTTTACTCCATTTTAAGTTAGTGTCTAAACAACTTGTATTTGCCACAGTCTTCTTAGGATCATTGTATTTAAGGTCATAAAGTATCAGCTAACCTACTCATCTATGTAGGCAAGAAACTTGACAAGAAGTTTTTTAGTTAAACTTGCACAACTGACTTTATTGCTTTGGGTAGTTTGCGTTCATTCAGTCTGGTGTTCTGTGGGCTCACTGTTATTGCTAAATCTTCAAACCCATTATGGGTATGGATAGTCTCTTTTCTAATTAGAGCTTTCTCTATATGGATATCCCAGGTATATGTTGCAGTAACTTCTGCTTGTTAATACTTAGTTTTGGACAAGGTTGTGCTTGTAATTAGGAGTTGTTTTTGTTTTTTAAATTCCTCACCATTTGTAATCCTTGATGTGTTTGTGTTCCAAGAATGATTTATTTGGGTACTATTTGTTTGTCTGGGAAGGAATGCTGTGAATTCAATGTGTCTGATATTTCATAGTTGCACTGTTAAAGAAAAATAATCTAAGCACTGATTTTTATTTTGTTCAGAAAAGGGGACTAGTAATATTCTTAGATGAGGTAAGACATGGATTGAAGAAAAAAGTATCATAGGAATTACTTCCTTTTCAGAAGCATGATACACAGAAACTCAAGACAACATAGCCTGCAGCCACAGAACTTCTGTATAATCTGATTTATTTTGCCATATTGCTCTGTGGAAGAATGTTTAAAAATGAATAGGTTATAGGGTTTTTTATAGTGCATTTAAATGTTGTAAGACCTAGGCAATGTTAAATAATTGAGAAAATCTGGATGTTGTTAATACTGTTTACTAATACATTTAAGCAATCATAAAGAACATGGTTATTGAGTAGACGTTATAGGTAAACAACACATGGTGGTCTGTTTTAACTGGAAGCCCTAATGTAATGGTTGCTTCTGCTAATGAGAAGATAGATAATCCCCCCATACTTACCCTTTCTTGAAAACATACAAATTGTTGTTTGCTCTAGGCAGAATGAAGACAAGCTGTTCAGTATTTGCCTTGTAAATATTAAATACTATGAACAGCATGTATCTGGTTCTGAAGTATGTGGGAGCCTTGCATTAATGTCAAAATGTATATGTATTCATCTGCAATTTTGCTTATTTGTTTGATTGTAACTGGGACTTTTCTCTTCTTCAGGGAAACTGTATCAATCTGACCGATGCCTTGACTCTGTATGAAGAACAGCTTAGCAGGCTCTATTGTCCTGTGGAATTTTCAAAAGAAACTGTGTGTGTTCCCTCCTACATGGAACTGTATCCTTAAAGACTGAAAAAGAATGGAAAGTGTGTATTAATAAATCAAGCAAGCCTAGATTACTCAGAGGTAATGAACTCAAGTGCAAGAAGGCAGTTCTAATTTAAACACTATTAATGTTTTTTCATAGTAAATGAACTACTGCAGTTTTATTTTGAGGATAATTGCAGGAATTATTTTTTAAAGGTGCCATAAATTCACAGCTGGTGAAATGATCAGCACCTTTTGTTTTTGAGTGTTTCCAAGTGTATTGTTTATGTGATGTAGGATAAAATGTATGAGGGTAATGCTGCCTGGGAGTTCTGGCAAGGCTGTCTCTTCTTTTTTCTTTTTTTCTTTCACAAAAAAAATCCAAACTAACTTCATACAGATTAGCATGATCCAGATCTTTAAATATTCTCTGATCTATTCTTGAACATACAGTTTAGACTGGATTTCGAAGGAGGGAGGGGAAGTGATTCCTAACGGTCATTACTAGTTACTGAAAAAAATATTCCGAGTGGAGGGGTATACACACTTTTTCAGCAACATCCCATTCCTAAAAATAATCCTTCAGAATGTCTTCATTTTGTGGGTGGCAGGCAAGTTATATAAGGAGCTAGAAGTTTGTTTCAAGCCATTAGCTCTAGAGGGGCATTTTGATCTGCTATAACCAAGGTGGTTCTGCTTGCTGCATTTGCCTTGAGTGTTTACCACTTTTGTGTGATCTCCCAGGAGATGTTTCTGCAGGGTAATGCCTGCTGTGGCTGTCCTCTTGACAGGAGAGAGCTTTCCAGGTTCTGCTTATTCGTAATACGTTAAGCGTGTGAAACTCTGCCTCAGCCTTTCTTCTGTTCTGTTCATTTTGCCTCCCTTCTCTCTCTAATTTTGATACTGTTTAATGCTGTAGCCTGCTGTTCTGGACTCCATACTGACTGTAACAATTCCTCCTGTTTCTCATTACTGTTAGCTCTCCAGTGAAACTCAAATTTGATCTTAACATTTTCAAGACAAAAAAGAAAGAGTGAAAAAGGATATGAAGATATTTGCCCTTGTAGCTTACAATTTCAGAGAAAATGGTTATTTTTGCCTGTACAACTGCCAGGCCTTAATGCAACGTGTATGTGATTTGAAGTATGTATCATCAGAAAGTTTTCTAAATACTTATTGCATTGTTTATTTCAAAGTATGCAAAATGTTTCTAAGTGAATTGAGTAGTAAATGCTACTTCATTCCTTTGAAAAATGCACTTAAATGTTTCTAGTAAGCTAACAGATATGACACATTTTTAGCAATAAATTTATTAAAACTGGCCATTAAATAGGTATAACAGAGCTTGAAAGTGAACAGTTGTTAGAGAAATGAGGCAGGCTTTATTAGTTTGCTTTTTCTGAATGAATTAACAAGGATATAATGGTATGGGTATAGGAATGTTAAAGGAGAAGTCATCTTGATGACTTCAGATTAGCCAAAAATAAGTACTCTAACTTGTAATTTGGCCTCGGACTTCCAATAGCCCTTTACCTGCATTTCAGGTACAGGTTATCTATCACCTTTCTTGAAACTTAGATTTCCAAGTAGGAATATGTATCTGAAAGGAAGGTTATACCTAAATGCTGTTTCACACATGACTGAGACACATGGTAGTTTACAGTAGAATTGTGACAAGTAATCAAAAATGAGAGTTTTATTTCTTTCTGAAGAATGTGACACATTTGTGACATTCATTTAAGTGCCTGAAATCTCTTGAGCCGTTGAACAAATCTTTTCACTTAACGCAAATGTTCATTTTTGTAATCTGACCAAAAGTTACCCGCGTGGGTACCTGAATGCAGCCAAAGTACTAAGCTGGCTTATCACTTTTTATTGTTACTTGTTTTGCCTACTTCAAGAATTGTTGTTGTGTGTAATTGTTACTTGAAATTCTCATGTTTACCAGTGTTGCTGTGGGAGTCATCTGAAATGCAAGTAGCTGTGGACATAAAAGCCAGCTCTCTATTTTAAGGAAAGCATGTGTGTCTCTGAGGTCTCCACCAGGACCTTATTGTGAACATGGGGGCTCCCATCTGGAACACATGTGACCTTGCTTTGTAAACAGAAGAGCATATGCCTGTATGTGGTTTTACTAAGTTAAAAAATCCCAGAAATCTATGCCTTACTCTGCAGCTGTTGCTGTAGCCCTAAAAAAAAAAAAAAAAGTGATGTTCATGTCTCATCCTCCTGCCTGCTTCTCCGGAAGCAGGTGGAATTATGTAGCTCTGACCTCTCTCATGTGCCAGCATGGCAAGAGAGCTCTTCAGGATCAGTTGTCTGTCCTGCCAGGAGTACCTCAGAGAACTGTGGTTTGAGCATAGCTTCCGTATGACTCTGAAGCTGGGTCCATCTCCCCCCAGAGGAGCAGCAAAAAGCACTGATGCAGTTGCCAGTTGCTCTGTATTTGCTTCTGGCTCAGTCTGGGCAACATAAACACTTTTCAGAAAGCAGACTTTTAGGTAACTGAAGGCAAACACTGGAGAAGATTTTAGAGAAAAGCTTAGGCAAAATTCCGATGCATCTGTTACGTGACTGTTCAGCAGAACCCCCGTTGAGACAGTTAAGAGGCAGTGGGCATTTAAATTATTTGAACAAGTAAGGTACCTAGACACCTAGTGTTCAGCTGCTGAACATCTTGGTATTAATTTTGTGTGTGTGTCTGTGTAAGAGATTCACAAATTAGGTTCCTATTCAAGCTTGCTACTTTACAATTCATAAGATGAGCAAGAGGGATCCCAACTTGGTGAACTCCTGATGAAAGTTTTGATCACTCTTCCCAAAGTACTTCCATAGTTTGTTCAGTGGTTGCAATGCAAAAAAATGCACCACCTGAAAGTCTGCAGCAGG